TAGTAATCACAAAAATCTTAAATGGAAAATAGGCCAGTTTTACAACTAAGACAAAGCTGACTAGATTGTTTAACTGGTGAAAAAGCAGGGCAAGAAGACGCTTGTGGAATATTCATGAAGTTTCATACAAAAAGTACTTTTCATTGCTACTGGAGGCCAAGCAAAGCCGACCACCGCCACTTCTAGACATTCATGGTGTTGCTTTTAACAGTCTCATCCCAGTGGTACATGGTTCTTTAAACCAGGGGAACGATTTTATTCACTAATGGTGGGCAGGTTTACAGTGAAGTTGTACACTTTTCCAGCCTCCAGCAAATCAGATCAAGATGTCACTGATCAACCCAAATCAAACCCCGTGGCCCAAAGCATGAGGCAATGTATACGACGAAAGGGGTTCTGAATGGCTTTAGAGAAATGTTGACATGCTTAAGCATGTTGACAGAGCCCGGCTCAGTGAATGAGGAGAAACACTGGAAACTCTGTCACAAGATATCGCACGCCACGAGAGGATCTCCAACTTGCACCTTTGGGAGACTCTTGTTTCTCCACCGACTGTGAAGATGTATTAAATCAAACCCAATTAGCAGAGCTGATCAGATCTACTGCTTAAATCCTGTAAGACCAAAGTTGAGAAGAAGAGGCTGAATTTTACTGCACTGATTACTAAGAGAGAATTTAGAGCCTGACATCGTCGATAAGAGTATTTGCACCAACAGAAAACTTAAGCAGAGTATCCATTACTCTTAATAGGACGATATTTTGTCCATCTACTATTACAGATAGAGAATATTAGCTCCTAAAATACTCAATCTGCAATTCTTCTCCAGCGTTGGACTAAGGCTTCATTATCATCCATAATTTCCTTGTCAGGGTTAGTTGATACCCAATCGAAGTCTAAGAGAAAATTTATCAAGTGCGTATTAACTCACTACTGAGTAACCCACCTCACCCTTAGTCGTAGATAAGGTTCAACCTAACGCAAAGTATCCTGATGGTTTTCTAGACCAATTTAGTGCTGTCTGGACGAGGTTATCCAGCCAAGGCTAGGCTTTTTTCCCACCTTAGTTACAACGCGGACCGAAGCAGAAGAGGAGATTACATTCAAGTGTGAGCCGACCATGCAGGATCCCAGGAGCAGTATATGCGAACAGAATATGCAGTTTGTTTTCGATAAATCTCTTCGGTTATGATTGTTGAAGCCATTTCCAATTTAAGTGAAAATGTCTGACAAAGGGATAATGTAAGTTGTAACTCTGTGCTGAGAATAGTGCGTCTCACTGACGATGTCGACTACGAGGCCGGCAAAAGATCTGGGAATGATAAAGTCAGAGGTCCAACACTGGATATTATCATAAACACTCTGGCAGATGACGCATGTTTCACAAGATCTGTCTGTAGCTCCAACCATGTTGCGAAAACGAGGTTTAACTAACATTATATAGCTAAAATGGACTGCGACCAAACCTAAAGTCACACCATTTTTGTCTTCATATTTACGAGCTAGTATTAATCTAGACTTAGATAGACTCTTTGACAGGTAGTTACACAAATTGTCTTATTTAGAGGCAAATGCTTAGTCGGATAGCTTGGCTAGCTTAGTAAGTTCAATGCGTGTATAGGAAGTTAAGGCCTACATTCTCTATGATAACAACAAATTAGCCAGATGTATGTTGGGCAAAGATAAGTCAAATTAAGTACGAAGCTCAGCCGAGTCGAGTGGTTCTTTTCCTAATTTCAGTCCCTGTGCACGTGCTGATAGTCTTCAGTAGAGACAGGGGCTATTTGAGTAAAATGTGAAGGCATGTGTATATATGTGTTTCAATCGTTTCAAGGTTGGGTAGAAAAAATACATGTGGAAAAAAAACCATAGAGTTGTTTTTGAGTTACTTAAAAAACAAATATATGCAGGTAAACAACACTTCGTATGGTATAGTCATAATATTCTTAGTCTTAAAGTTAATATAACTCCTGGTAAGCGTTATTTAAAAAATCTTTATCTCCAAAGCAGTTTCGAAGCAAATTTAATTCATTTTCATCCATTTATTCCTAACTTGGCTCCTTTACAACTAGCGTCTCCTTTTTATAATCATGCAGGTTGAATCGGATTCGGGATACCTAGAATTTCGAGTACTATTAATGAAATTATTTAGCTTGTCTAGGCAAATCTTGGAGTTGAATTTAAATTCCCATCGCAGGATTGAGATGGCTTATAATTAAAATAAACCCATATGCCATCCAAAATTACTCCCTCGACTATTTTTATGCAACTTGTCAGGAGGTTTTATTTAACTCTGTACAAGAAATTAATTTTTGCATAGACGTATATTTGCAGGAATACCGGCATCTGTATCAAAGACATCCAGTCTCAATAAGCTTCGCCGAGTGGTGGCGAAACGTTTGATTCTGCGCATAAACTAAGCTTAGTGAGGATCAACCAACGCCAAACCAACAGGCCAGTATAGCCGAATCCGAATAAATGAAAAAATTACGTTTTGACAATACTATCTCTCTCAATGTCCTAACAAGCAAGATGTCTGACTTAAATGACATCAGAGAAGTAATCTATCCATGTTGTAGCTGGGTCTTATGTGATATATGCAAGTGTATGCTTACTCGAAAATGTGAGCAGAAAGTTAATAAAGACAAACCCGTTGCAACCGTAAGCCTTACACAGTTGTAAGCCCAGTTCATTCCAGTGTGATATTCCCTTGAGATGCCTGTGCATTATGCATAGTCAATGCCCTCTCAAAGGATACCGTTTTTAAAAGGTTACATGACTTGTTTAATGCTTAGTCCGATCCAAAATATTGTGTGGAGGATAATTTAAACAATGAAGCCCTGGGACCGGGAGCATTTTTACCACATTCCTTGATAGTACACTATCATTAATTGTCGAAAAAATGACAATGTGCCTAAGTCAAGAAAAAGATGATGAAAATATATGAAGGGGAACAAAAGATAAAATTTAACGCCATTTCTAATGCCCTCTTCAAATTATTGCCTAAGTGAAACTAGTTAAGGTAAGCAACAGTTAATATGAAGGTAGCTCATAAAAGCAGGCAAACATATTTAGGTTAAAGTCCTAGTAAAGTCGCTAATGGAATTCTGGCATAAAGAAAAACGATCCATAATGAAAACTGTTAAGACGCCCATTCCTTTTGTCCCTCCTCACAAAATAAAGAAAAAGAGAAAGAAGATAAAGAGTAAGATAATCAGTATAAGAAGTACGCGGTGATTTCAATTGGCATAAAGACAGCAAATTATGGATTCAGGAGTCTTGCTGTGTCTAGTTAAGAAATAAAAACACAAGAGAGTCTAGCATAGGCGAGAAAAAAAAGAGAGAACCCGAAGAAGTAAGTAAGAGCTACAAAGTGAGGACTATGCAAAGGATGTAAAATGCTAATTCATTTGTCAAGACCAGCTATTAATGAAGAATACAAAAGGAAACAGATAACATTTAAAATATCGGGGAAAAATAATAGTAATCAAATCGGGTTCTTATATATATATATATTAATAATTAGGATAATGTATATTGACGAATAAGTGAAAAGTATTCTGGTATTTATAGGTAATTAATTTATGCTTCTGATATTAATGATTAAAAAAACAAACGAAATTTATTAATCAATAAGGCTTGCAATACAAATTAGAGGATTCTACGGTTTCTAGCGCAGATTTTAAAAGAAATAATATAGGTTTGAAGGAATGAGAAGATAGAACACCGGTACTGAGCTATTCCTCACCTGTACGATGTCACGATCTGCAGCTCGTCCACGGGACGTTAGTCTTATATCATCACCATCCAACTCTTCCATAGGCTCGAAGTCAGCTGCTCCGACGCCCACAATGATGATGCTTAATGGCAATCTGGAAGCCTGGACAAAGACAAGAAAGTGAAGTATAATCAGTCATGAGAAAATAACCAACAGAGCAAAACACAAAGTGCGACTGAAAAACAAATTAATACTGGTATACGTTTCATTTCGTCTGATAAGGCGTCTTCTCAAGCGAAATAAAAGGTATGCCTGTATCAAGCTACTAGGAGATTCTTCGAAACCCAGCTTCTCTTCATGTCTCACAAAACAAATTAATTGGTTTAGAGTGATTATTCATAGAACGACAAGTAATAACAGTTAAATACTGAAATCCTGGTCAAGGAAGCCGCTTGTGCTGAGCTTATCCTATGGTTGGAGCTGGGACTGAAACCAAAATGGAGATCGTTATGGCTCATATGCCAAATTCCACTCGTCCAACATATTCAAAATGAGAAGGAAAAAAGCTATAGGCAAAAAAAACGGAGCAGTCAAGGTAACGATGTTGCTAAACAGAAGGATTCTAATAAAGTAGATAATACCAGTCGCAAAACTAAAAGTACACACTACGTCAATCACGATGGAGGGCAAAGGGAATCTGTTTGTAAAGGACTGTAGCTCATGTTTAATCAGCACTTAATGATTACATAAGGCAGTAAAAGGCAGCATCCGTAAATAAATAATCACCCAAATAATCGACAAGAACTAATAAAGGGAATAAAGAAATAAAAAGTAACAGTTAACAAGGAACAAAAAAATACCAAGCAATGAACACACAAGGTTCTCGTTAGCCACATTTCTGTCTATGGTAGCAAAAGTATGGCTCATATAAGAATTAATCTTTAAAAAGCTGTTGTCGCCTTTACTAGATGCCACCTATTCCGCAAATTTAATTAACGAAAAGATACAATTCAGGATGGCGGCGAAAAGATACTCAAGCCTTTGTCTCATTATCGAATAACCAAATGAAGTCGTTCCACAAATGAAAATAACCTCGTAAGGGAAAAGGGTTATTTTGGGGATTAATTGTAAGGCAATTTTCACTAAAGCGAGATTTCCAATAGGTAATGACTAAAGACAGAGGCTAAAAAGTTTGTCACAAGCAGACAAAAGTTTAAGCTGGTTGGACAAAAGAGAAACAAATGTAGAGATATTGAAAACCCGATAATATCTTTAGAGCATCATGAAATAGATTGTTGGGTTGCTTCTTTGATTGATGCAGTAAAGATACAACATACATCAAGCTCTGAATGAAGCTAAGGTTATTTTGACACAAGCTATTCATCACTGCACAGGTATACACATTTTATTTAATAGAAGTTGATCAAGATGC